CACCACCACCTTCCCTGTCGCCATCAGTCTCATCAGATGACCGTCTGTTCTCCCCGGCACTTCCTGCACGCACCATAAATAACCGACAGGAGGTAAACCAGGCAGCACAGACAGGCGAACACGGCGGCCGTCAGGTAGATCTTGTACATACAGGGGTGCTTGTACTGCTCCAGGTTGCAGAACGAGTTGCGTTCCGTCTTGAAGATCATGACAGCTATGGCCGGCAGGTAGAGCACGGCGGCGGCCACGTCGTGCGCCAGGTTGGTGGCCAACCAGCGCTCCCCTCCCAGCAGCGGGACGAGGTCCTGCTTGTCCAGGAGGGTGAGGAAGAAAAGGGCGAGGGTGAGGAGCCAGAAGAGGACCGCGACGAACAGGACGAAGTGGACGGATCCTTCGTATTTGTTGGCGGCGATGGTGACCCACAGGCCGGCTCCAAACGCGATCTGCAGGATCCGGACGATTCCCAAAAAACTCTTGAGGAACTTTAAGATATTCTTCCTCACCTGCGGCTGTGGAGGTTGGGGTGGCATCTCTCTCCTCCTCCGGTCACTCTCGGTCCCTTTTTCCCGAACAGGGCGGGTGCTTTCTGCCAGCTGCAAACAGCTGGGGAAAAGATGGGCACAAAGTGGGGAAAGATCGCGGTGGGAGGCCGGGTTCGTGGTCAAACAATGAAGCCAAAAGTGGACAAGTTTAGGTTTAAGAAAGGAACTCTCTGTTCTTTCCACTGCCCCGGGGTTTTGAAATGAAAAACCTTCTTGTATGTTTCGTCTTTTCCGTTTCCTCTGTTGAATGCAGCGTCTGTGTTTGGGGGGCTGGGTGATGGAGAGGGGGCGGCCTGTAATTCAAAGCCCGCTCCTCCTCTGCTGGATCCATCCCCGGCCACTCATCTGCTGATGTGTTTCCCCATGGTGCAGTTCCCCTGGGGTGTGTGTGACCTTTCCCCCTGTCTTTGCGCAGACAATAAGGCTTTATGACACGAGGAATAAATGTAAATATGCGCGTAAGGAGACAGCAAGACATCCAGACAGTGTGTAATCACCCTCAGACTCCCATGTAAACAATGTTTTAATTATTTCTAACTGAAGCCAGTGTCATAGTATATAATAACTCTCTTATTCCGCTAGAAATAAAGTTTGAATAAAGAGTACAAGTCTTTCTAAATAGTAGCCTATTACATTATTACATTATTATGTTTAGGGCCACTTTGCGTCATCTTGTTTGCGTGTTTCAGCACAGGATGCTCACATGTTTACTTCTCTCTCGCATAATTGACAGACGCTTCTCGTGTCAGCCGAGCTCATTGACGTCAATGCATTTCAGCGCACACGCCCTACGTGGCCAAAAGGGCGGAGCAGACCCCCCCCCCAAAAAAACTCGCTATTGGTCTACATCAAGGTTCTTCCCCCACCCCGAGAGGCGGGGACAGAAGCTCTCTCTGCTCTCATTGGTGGTTTGATGGCGTTGATTTGTGATTGACGGTCGGCTCAAGGACACTAATCGATCGCAGGTGAAGCTGGACAAACAGACTGTCCTCCGACGGTTCAGCCATTCCCGAGACTTTTTCGTTGCAAAGGGACGGCCACGGGAGATGCTGTAGGAGCGGAGTGCGCTGGATGTGTGAGTCCATCCGCGGGTAAGCGGGTCTCCTTTTCATTTTTCACATGACTCTCACGGGATTCCTGTTTCCTGCCCTATTCCCCCCCACCACCTACACACAGCCTGGTGAAACCCCAGCATGAACTGGACTGTGGGGCAAGTTGTGCGATCAATGCATCGTATTTTATCACGAATATTTGACTTAAACTTCCTTTTTTTTTTAAGCGAGTCGATAGTATAAACAAAGGCTTGGTTTTGCAAGAGCGCTGCAGCAGTGAGCCTGTACACAGTTTGTTGTGTAAACAGTAGGCACCGATGGTGGGGGAGGTAATGGAGGAACCTGTGACGTTTGGTTAATGGTAAACCACTTCTAATGCAAAATGGGTTTGTGAATGTGTGAATGTGTGCGAAAAAGCACAGGCGTGTCCTGAAATAACCCACTGACTGTTGAGGAGTGGTGCTCAGGACAGTGCAGATTCTTGCTCATAAGTTGTTTGTGAGGTAGTGCATTCTTTTCCTTTAACCTATCCTGTAAAAAGAAAGAGATAAATCATACACATGGATGTTAAAAGTGCATTCTCATAGCACAGGAATCTGTAACGGTCTCATAAAGGATTCATAGTTAATGTGTAAAAGTAGGGGGCAGAGAGAACCAACAGAAAGAGAATTACCTAAAAGGTCAAACTTTATTTCTGGTATAGTAAATAGTACGTTTTGACAAAATAATCCTGCCTCCTGCTCTCCGTCTGTGAGATGATCTGCTGCTGTAGGAAGTCAGTAAATGGACTTTTTACTTTAGATTATTTTGTCAAGCTGGAAAGAAGGCCGTGTCAGTGGAAAGGCCTCTGACCCACATGCAATGATCTTGGCCACTAATGCCTCTCTGTTAGCGTCCCGTTTAAAACCATATGTAAGCAAAGGGGGATGAGGCTGACATCTGCAGTTTAATGGGCTTTAAGGCACAGGTCGTCACTCACTACCTAAAGTAGGATTAAAGAGTCAAGACTCCCAGCTGACTGGCCGACTGTTTCAGCTGTCTCTAGGTGTTGTGACGCACTCTGTCGTCATGTACTTTGTTATGTCAAGTTTTTTTTTTTTTTTTTGTCAAATATTAACCAAAAATCTCCTGACTCCTCCACAGAGTAGAGAACAGTGTATGCCACCTTTTCCCGTCTTTCTCCGGATGGATACCGGACCCGCCCCCGCTCCTGCCTCCATGGTGGTGGGCCCTTCCACGCTGTGGCGGCTGGCCGAGAGGAGGAGCAGGAAGACCGGCTCGGCGAACATTTTCAGCAACGTGAATCTGTGGCAGCTCCAGAGACTGTTCAGAGCAGCAGGGGACCAGGATGCAGAGCAGAGGGCCCAGCTGGTTTGGGGCCATGGAGATGAGGCTGAACTGGCTCAGGCATTGATAGGACTGAGGGCCCGAACTCACAGGAGAGGGTTGAGGACTAACGGACGGGAAGTGCTGGGCTCACACTGGCTACGAGCCTTCAATCACCTCAGGTAGAAGAACTGCTAACGTGATGTGACTTCATATACATTCACAACATTAATCTCTTGGTATCCATGTGGTTGTTGTTTCTTTAACAAAACTACTCCCATTGTTCAGGATCGGGGAGAGCTCGACGAACAGCCAGGGGAAGGACCCCGGAGAGGACAGTGATCCTGAGGCAGGAGCACACAGCAGTCCAGAGCCACACCGACAGTCTTCCGTAGGGACAACAGGAAGAGGTAAAGCGGTCACTGAAAGCCAGGGCCCTGCAGGGACTTCTGAGAGACCAGTTAGAACCAGCTCAGGATTGAGAAGAGGAGAGAACAACCCGGAGAGATACCTCCACAGAATACTGCACTGACTTGACCAAATCCTCTGAGACACAAAAACTGACTCTTTAGTCTGTACCTCTGAGAGTCTACCAGCAGTTAACAGTCCGCACAGCCTGCTGGTCTCTCCTGAATACCGCTACAATGAGTTCAGAATCTGAAGCTCGGTTGAATTAACTTGACTAACACATTTCCAGTTACACAGGAAACTGTACTGCAGGTGGAAAGAATAGAATAGTTTCTCATAATGCCATAATGTCTGCCCTTTTAACGGCACTGATCACATGGCAGAATAATGGCACTGCATTGTTAGACACATGTCCACCTGAGTAATAACAGCGGCACAAACCTCTGACTGGCTCCTGGAATCCCACAACTTTATAAAATAGTTGCCTCTCATGTACTGCCTTATATGTTCTCCTAAATTCATCCCACCACCCCCACTATCCATACATACTGATAATTCTAGACAGTGATGTGACTTCAAATAGTTTTATAGTTCAGTGGTGTGAAAAGGTGAGTAAAGGTTAGTAACTATGAACTTATTTAACTGATCACTGTACTGCAATAAGTTAGGATTTTGACCTAGTATTTATTAGGCTGAGAGTACTGATATTATAATGTGTGGTTGCACTATGGATGTTACAGCTGTTATATCCACTATCCAAGTACAGATATGTGTTTTTAAAAAAAAGGTAGAATTACTGGTTCAATGTCTTTACTCAAGTAAAAGTGGAAAACTACAGACTCTGAAATGTAATCAACGTATAAAAGTAAAAAGTACTCTCATGGATTCTCTGAAGGACATTTCTACCGGTTGTTTCTGTGCAAAGCTCACTGAAACTTCAAATAGGGTCTTCCTCTTTTTTTTCTTTTCTTCATGATCGTCATGTTACATCTGCCGTGTGTGATAAGCTACGTCAATGATTCCCCTCAAATGCATTAAAACTAAAGCAATGACTTGGTTTTTAAAATGTAAGGAGTAGAAAGTATTTGTACTTTGTTACTTCCCAACTCTGCCTGTACTACAGAAAGCCACATATGTGAGATGATGTACTGTATGTATATTAGCTTGAACATATGTTAACTTCTTAATTGTTGTATTCACACTAATTGAAGCGTTAAAACTGAGATAAGCTTTACTCACCATGTTTCTGGTCACGTGTGTGTGTGTGTGTTGTGTTAAACTGTAAACACTATTAATGGCTATGTTAGGTGTCATGAGATGTAGAAACATACACGCCACGGCACATTTTAGAGACTCAAATGATTCTTATTCACTGTGTTATGCCATGAATGGAAGCCAGTCACTGGTTTGTATTTACTGAAAGTGTCAGGCGGTCAACTCTGCCTAGAGACCAAAAATAATAAATAAGAGCTGCAAAGCCAACAACCCTCACTGTGCAGGGAAAGACTTGAAACACAAATTAAAATGTTCATGGTAACAGTGTTTAAACCTGCTGTGCCTATGAAAGTCTTGTATCACCAACCTTATCACATTGCTGGAAGCTTGATGCTTTTTGATACTGTTTGATTTTTAGATTTGTGGTAATAAATAAGTGAGTCTTTGACTTGTTTGTCTTGTTTTCTTCTGTAACCGAATCAACATTTTTTGCCTTCAGGAAGTGATGGAAATACTTCGCTATATGTTAAGTGGAATGGCTTTAAATGGATGTGTAGGTTTTTATTAATTTATTTTGTAATCAGCCCATTCTTCACTCTTATTTAGCTGAAGAAAGGTAGATATGTTTGGATGCTCATCATTGTTGCACTACATCATGTGTATTACAGTTTACACACATTCACACCCAGGAGCTGCAGCTTGTACCCACAGTCGGCCGCTGCTGACCGCTGAGCAGCTCCACTGGACCAGCTGGGTGTTAAGTGCATTGCTCAAGGGCACATCATTAGTGGTTTTTGATGAATGGATAACAAATTACTCTATAAGAAACAAATACTGCCCTCCAGTGGCCATGTCCAGTAATGATGTTATCATGTTAAATCAGCTTGCGGTCACTAGATGGCACAAAAGGTTTTGTTATGGGAGTGTACACTGAGTCAGGAAAGATTCATACTTGTTATGCATGGAATAGACTTTGCCTCAGAAAACTTAAAAATTCAGAGTATGCTATGGTGAGCTTTAAAGGGCAGACTCATTTTAATAGACAAATAGGTAATCTTATTGATCCTAACTTGTCATGTTTAACTTGTCTTTTCTGCCAGGTCTAACAAATTACTTGACTACGTGGTGAGAGCTAATGAGTTGTAAAGTTTTCATCTCTAATGCAAATGTCCAAACCCTCAGGCAGCGACGCACCATCACAGCACAATACATTAGGCCGAATAGACCTGCTGTTTGGGTTTATGTTTAATGAGGCTTTAAAGTTGTGACTTTACGTGCAAAATAAATGTTTCCATGCAGTTTATTTCTGCCTAGTCATGTCAGCAAGAAAAGAAATTGGGAAGCACTATCAGGATACACATGGAGGACTTCTTCTAGATACCATGTGAAGTTGAAAATTTGGACTAGGATTACTCTGCATTCACCAAATGTCCTCTTCCTCCAATAGATTCCTCCAGCTTCTCCTGTGTGTTGCCAAGGGATTCACAGGTCATCTGGGAGATAAAGTCCTTTCTTTGTATCTTGGATCTAGTCAGTAGTGCCTGGCTGGTGCAATGGCAAACTGAGTCATCTGAAGGGCAGCTTTATAAGGTACAGAAACCCCAGCTGACTCCCTCAGTGCAGAGAGAGCAGCAGATTGAGGTAATCCTCAGTCTGCTGAGCTTCTCACCTTGTTGTGTAAAATAAGCTCATTGCACAGAAACCTAATTTTAGTGCCTATGTACTGTAGGTTATCTCAACTTTTCATTCACTCCATAAATCTTAGGACTATAGATGAGATGTGGAATGATGATCCAGCTATAATATAGCTGCGGCTAGATTTAGTGGTTTGCTTTGTGCCTCAGCTTGTTATTTACCTATATGGTCAGTGGTGAGTAAAGTACATTTACCATATATCATAATATCCGTATTATCCTACTTTATTCTTCTACTCAGTGGGAATTATTTTTACTCCTCTACGCTCATTAAGCAGCTACAGTTACAAAATTACGATTTTACATTAAACAAAACATAATAAGCTTACAGTACATTGTTAAAGATGAGCCCTGACAAAAAAGAAGTGTGTACTGAGCATTCTTGTTTGATTTCAGATATTACTTGTTAGCAGTTCCACCAAAGTGTGATTTCCCCTCTAAACCTCTCAGTTCGTTTTGTTTAAAGGTCCAGTGTGT